CCCCGGCGGCCGCTCGCACCGCCAGCCGACCCACGCGCCGCGCGCCCCGCGAGTCTAGCGCTCGACGCACGCGCACGATCCCCGGGCACGCGCCCGCCGCCAGCGCAACCGCGGCCAGCAGCAGCGCACCACGCGGCACACCCACCAGTGCGCCTGCCGCCGCTCGTGCAACGCCACACGTGCCCGTCAGTTCATCTGCTGCCACCCGGCGCAACGCTAGAGCCGCCGCCGTCCACGCACCGGCCCAGCCCCACGCCGCCGCGTGCAGATACGCCGCCGCACGCTCCAACGCCTCAGTAGACCACTCGCTGGCCGCCGTCAGGTACCACGCCACGCACGCGTTGGCGAACCACGCGTCCGCCGCCAGCGTGAAATAGTAAGTAAGAGAGAAGAAGGCGACGCACGCCGGCGAAGCCAGCCCGTCGACGGCTAGCGCGCCCCCCGCGCATGAAACTGCCTTCGCGCCCAGCCAGCTTCGGATTACGTAGGCCGTGGCGACGACGGCGTGGCATGCAGCCATCCACACCATCGGCCGCTCGGGGTAGCGGTAGCGTGCGGGCTCGGCACAGAAAGTGAGCAGCGCGAACGAGGTCGATAGTAACGATAGCCAAGCGAGCGTATTCATCCAAACTTCTGCCGTACGCTTAGCGGGCTGCGTGTAGCGGGCGTGCTGCCCGCACGCCGGCCAGCACTCTCCGGTGGGCGACATCGCGTGCGCCGGCGGGCAACCGTGCTCGCGCAACTCAGGGTCGCGGAAGGGCCAGCGCGGCGGCGGCTGCGGCTCCGGCTCCAGCTCGCTGGCGTTGGGTGGGCGCATGCACAGCCGGCGCACGGCTCGCAGCGGGAAAGCTCCGCAGTCGAGCGCCACCGTGGCCGGCAGCAATTTGAGCTGGTCCTTGCAATCCTCGGAGACGGTGTCGCAGAGCGCTCGGCAGGCGCTCACGGAACCTGACACCTGCTCGGAGCACAGCGGGGCGAAAGCCGAGCACAACAGGAAGCGGGCGTGCACTGAGCACTCACTCGAGATCAGTCCGGAGAACTTCTCCATCTGAAACGAAAAAAACACAGTTTAATAACAAAATCTTTTCTTATGTAACCAATGTTGGTTATAATTAAAGGTGTGGATGTCGATGCTGCGAGGTAAGGGGAGATGTTGGGGGATAAAACCCGGCGCAAATTACAGGTCGAAACAAAGGCAAGGTCGCGGCTGCTTTTTGTGCGGCAGTCGGCGGCCGGGGGATATGTAGCGGCCGAGGCGGGCGAGGCTCGGTTTAGTGGTGCCTCGCTTTTTGCGTCACTAAAACGGTTGTTATACGTCCGTCTGTCGATTAGTTGCCGCGATAATTAATATAAGCAACGGACTCCGTAATGAGAGGTTAATTACGCGTCTCGGAGATTTTAATTACAGTTCTTATGCTCCGCGAAGAGTATTGATTGTAGATAAACAGAGCAATTGAATTAATTTATAGAGAGGACCTCCATAACGCGGCGGCCTCAGGGTTTTTCTTTAGTGATTCGCGGGACGATAATTAACTAAATCGCAAAGGTTCAAGTATAAGTAGAAATAGTTCGTAGTGTCAATAAGTTATTATTGAGCCGCTTCCTAGTAAACACAACAGATATTTTTTTTATTTTTATGGGATAAACAAACAAGTACAGAATTACATGTAAATAAAAAGTCCATAGTCTGCATTTGTTTTGGCTACGATAACGAACGAAGTGAAAGCGTTATATACATCTCTATATGTAGAAAGTCGCGTATTACATTTTGTTTGGTGTTGTCCCTTTATTGATGCATAATACGTGGAATGTCCGGTTTCAAATGAGTTGTAATATGAACGTGGCGACGGATCGCGAGCCGTTTGAAATTTGATCACGTCGTTAGTTGATAGTTGATACAAACGACATCAAACACCGGAAGGATAAACTTCGTTTGAGGTTTGTTGTTGCCGATACATTCTAAGCACACGATTTGCACATTCATAAATATATGTCTGCGTGATATTATCAGCGTATTTAAATGTGTAAAAACACATCCATGATTGCCTACAACGACAAAAAAATTCAATTGTAGTTTTTTAACAAATAAAAGATCCACGGATCCATAGATGTTTGTTTTCTTTAAGGATCACTTTCTGGATTATCGTTGCCTCTATACACACGAGTACCTGATCACAATCGCGTCTGCGCATGCGTGGTACTTAAACTGTTCGAGATTTTAGAGTTTTTTCGGCTAAAGTTTCATTCTAAGCTAACAATAGCGAGTAAACGTCGCTTGTTTGTGAGCTCGGGGAAAGGTTCGCTCTGTATCGACGCACTTAACATTTCTTTATTAAGGCGAAGTTTGCTTTATTTCCAACAAAATAAGGGACAATATTAAAGACACAACATTTATTTGTAATCATTGGAAATCAGTTTCTATAAAGAAATATTATAAAGAAAATATACAAGTATGAAACATTACCAATCCGATATAAGGTCACAATCACACTAGCGGAATAATCGCAATTAGCTTAAAAAAAACATTAAGGTCTTCAATAAGTTTTCTAAATAATATTCCTTAATTTAAATTAAATAACAGCAGTGTAAACGTCCCCTTAACACGTATTTGCTCGGGCGCACTCTTTTAGACGTCTTTGGATCACATACAAGGGTTTCTATTGATACAAATCCAGATACCAGTGCATTTGTTACAATAACACACTCTATGTCTGTGCAGCAAGGTCGATATTTAAATGCAGCGCAGATCAAAGCACTTTACGCGTGTTTGTTTACGTTAGGTAATCCATTGGGCCGCACGTTTCCCAGTACTTAGTTGTATTATTTATTTGCTCGAATAAACATTCGATATACGAGCGACGAATGAAGAATTCTAAAAGGCTCTTTTGTTAGTGACTGTACTTACAACGAGTATTAACTTGCATAGACTGTAACTCAGAGCTGCGTTCTTATAATAAACATTGCGTTCAATAACATCAAAGGAATGAGCTGGTTATTTTATTATCTACGTAATAATTAACTTCTTTATGTGCATTGTATTATTGTAATTCCGGTCAAGCATGAAGCAACCCACGAGTAGGTATCTATTAAGAATATAAAAAGGGACTTTTTATTAATAGATCTCAAAGTTCATGTTGATGGATGTTAAAATATTTTTACATTATTTCAGTCTATGTTAACTTTTCGTGGAAACGTTTCATTGAGACAACAAGCATGAGGACAAAATATTAATTACTGAGGGACTCCGAAAATAGTCTGTTGGTATTGCTTTGATCTTCCGACAGTTCAGTAAAGTAACAAGAAACCACACACTAGCTCCAAACTGTTCACCTTTTAAACATACAAAAACAAAGCCAACAATTCTTATTTAAATAAATATAAATTCTACTTGAAGTATTATTATAAAAATGTTTTCAAACGAAAGAAAAAAAATTCTAATTGATAAAAATAATGCCACATTTTCACCAGTTATATTTAATACATTGTCGCAATATATTAAAGAAGTCTGTTTAAAACGTTTAATACATGGCAACACAACTTTACATGTCAATTAGACAGCCCTCCAAAATCCTTTGATCATTAAAAAAGGCGCGTAAATCGGGAGCGCTTTGAAGTAGCCTGCCAGTTGTACGCACTATTAATACGCGGGAAATGTAAACTTCACTCGAAGTTTATAGATGCAGTCAATTTTTTAAATGGGTAATAACTTTAACGGACATTTTATTTACAAAAGAAATAACCAACAAAAATTTACTGTAAAGAAAAAAATATATTTATATTGAATATATTCAAAACGCTTCTCACGGCAAACAGGTTTTAATGAAACGATTATAAACTTTGAATTATTTGACGAGAATAATTTTTATGTTAAGAAATAATTACACGGAATATAATTAAACGTATGTTAATATACAATATGTATTTTCATAAATGTAGATTGTAGATATTCGTAATTTTTGTTGAATTATATTTTGGTCCGAGTTTTTTGACATTTTATATTTATTATAATATCTTTAGATCAAAATTAAGGTTATTAACAGTTACTACGATGATCAAAGGCAACATATTTTAGCTGGGCGTAGCTTCGACAAGTCGTTTCCTGCGGTTAATCACCGATACACGAATACTAATTAAGGTTGCCGAGTTATGAGTCAATTAAAATCGGCGGAAAGAACATTTAGCAGCGCTCTTTTGATGGCGCCGCTTTTATTGCGTTTTATTCGTTTTGCGATACATGCAACATTAATAAGGAAGTTGGAAATAAATTTGTGTGTTTTTTATTTATTACGCTATAGAAAACAAAACATTGTGTTTGTCTGGTATGATTACTTTTTCGTTAACAATTTTTTTTAATCATTACTTATACGAGCTTTTGTTTTTATTGTTATTCTGTAAAACTTTTTATCGATTCATTCATAATATCTTTAAAGAAATCTCAATTAATAACATGCAGATTCCTTTCTTCGATTTTATTCAAAGTAAACTGTATATTTTTACAGTTCATTGAGATGGCTGTTGTTAATGGAATCAATTCGATTGGAACGTAAACGTCCGAAATCGATTCGGTTTTCATATGAAGGAATCCATTTAACGATATTGCACAACAATTACTGAATTTTAAATTAAGATTTCTCATTAAAGAATTCTTTAAATATATAAAAAATGTGTAATTCCGGTTGTCAGTTAGTATGCGTATTTAACCCAGACGAAATGATAATATAAAGTTGTGTACAGTTTCAATATATTCTTACTTAATCTGGGTTACAAACTAACCAAAAATATTTCTAAAATGGAATCTAATTATAATTAATATAAATACATAAACGAATTATTTTTATCAACAATAGACTTTGAAGACTACACATGTTCCGCCTGTGAATCTGACATAAACAGCATTTTCCTTGGCTCGGGCCACTGCCCACTGTTCCCTGTCAGCGTAATTGGCGCTTTACAGCTGCCGGCGAGCGATTTACAGCGCCCCCGACATTTACTGCTCGACTCTGAGTTCGTACTCAACTGACAGAGATCTCTATAGCACTCGGCCGTGATACCGTTATAGGTCTAATTTGGGAATACTTCCTTGATTTTATGAGTTAACTAGAGTTTATAGGTGGTGTGGAAAATATCTTAATATAAATTGGTTTACAGTTTTTTTTCGGTTTGAATAGATATTTAAGTTCCTCATGACTCTAGCAAAGATCTCGTCATTATAACAAAAAATTAGGTTAACACAAATGTTATTAATTGCTTTTAACTTTTCAGTTTAAAAATAAAACCAATTCACCAGTCGTACATGACCATGTTGGTGATTTAAATAAATAATTTTGCAATTAAAATTTTTATTCTAAATAGAATTTATTATAAAATTCTGAAGGATAAATATGGCGGTAAACATAAATTTAGCATTTAATGCTCACAGAACTAATTATCTTTAGTTTATCTTTACTTTTTAAAGTTTTAAAAGCATCGGAGTGCCGCCGGGGCCGGGGCCGGGGCAGGGTCGGGGGGGGGGGGCATAAAGTCCGCCTGAGAACTAGCGTCGATGTAAATGCATTAATGGAAGCCATTAAAGCGTAGATATCGGACTCACAATCATTAAGAATTAACGCGCGCTGCACTCGCCCGATGTAATCAAGTAATTCGGTGGTCGTTTAGTGCAAGCGGAAGCGATAAGCGGAGCGATTGTGATAGCCTTTTATTAATTTGTTATTTTTTAATATTTTATTTTATAAACTACAAAGTTAAAATATTTAAAAAGTTAAAAAATGTATTAAAAAATTTAAAAGTCAAGAAGTCGTGACCTGTTCTGTTGTTACTTTTTTAAGAAACATTGTTTTATTATAATAAAAGTTATAGTAATTTTGACTTTAAATTAAAAACAATAATTTCGTTTTCGAGTTCATAAGTTCAGAATAACAGTTGTTTTTTTAAATTTCAATATCCGTAATCTTTTTCCATTGTATCACCACCCTTAGCATAACTCTTTCTTAAAATATAGTACAAAAGAAATGAAGCTCTATAGCGGTGCGGTACATATTAATTTCATGG